CAAAGCTACCGGATGCTCCGGTTCGGATGCTTCTATGCCCCACCTATACTCTCCATTGTAGTTCCTTTTCGGGGATACCTTATAGAATCCTTAATATATAATTGGTTAAACCAAAAAAAGGAACTACAATGGAGACTATAGGTAAATCTAAACGGCGCTCAAGTAGGCACTGTCCCGGCATTTGTTTTTGTTCCTGTCCGTGCTTGCTATCTTCGACAGGCAAAACTGGGGAGCCCGGAGAGCCTTAGGGTTTAGGGTTTAGGGTTTAGGGTTTAGGTCTGGTAAGAACAGAATGCACGATTTTTGAGAGAAATTGTCGAAGACTGCGCAGAGGGTCCAAAGAAGCCGGGGCCCGACAAGCACAGCATGATAGAATTTTAAGGGGCTTCTGCAGGAAGCCCTCCAGAGCTTCTCTCAAGTTGAGTCTGTACCGGACATGAACATGTCGGTCCATCCGGGTAACCCTAAACCCTAAACTCTAAACCCTAAACCCTAAACCCTAACCAAGTGTTTTGTTTTCATGAACATGTCGGTCCATCCTGGTTCCCAAGTGTCGAAGCCTTTTGTTTTCAAGCAGCTCGCGGCAGCAGACCGCGACTTTTGCACTCAGCCCTTGCAGCCCTCCTAGGTAGTTTAGGGTTTAGGGTTTAGGGTCCCGTCTAAACCCTACTTATGGCTCTCTTACGAGGGGCCTTATCGAGAGGGTCTATATCCCCAAAAGTCCCCCTAATCCTAACCCCTAAGCCCCAAGAAGACCCCTAAACCCAAACCCAAAACCACAGCCCACAGATTGTCGTGTACCAGGAACCTCGCCTAGACATGTTCGAGAGTGAGTGCTGAAACCACAGCCCATAGAACCCGAAGATGTGGATTTGAAGCAGGTTTAGAGAAACTGCCTCCTGCTGCGCACCTCGGCCCACAGCACTTGGCTCTCCTGTTTAGGACCTGGAGATCCGGGCTTCGGGTTTTAGGGTCTAGGTTGAGGGTCTAGGGCCGTTTACGGTTGAGAGTTTAGGGTTGTGTGATTCAGGGTTCTGGGGTTGAGAGTTTAGGGTTTAGGGTTCGGGGTTCAGGGTCATAGCTACAGGGCAGAAACGGCAAAGTACGCAGTGGCGGTATCCTAATCCATCGGATGATGCACCACATGCACCAAACTTTGAGGCATCAAAGGTGCTTTGTTGCCCAACTGTGCTCACAGCCTTCTCCCCTCCGAGTGGCTTTATCCTACTGTTGAAGATGTGTTCATGTACTGAACTTGCTCCGATTCACGGCCTTCAGGCCCGCATGCCGTCGCGTGATTAGCCTCTTGCGTCGTTGCTGCTACCCTTTTAGCCCCACAACCTAAACCCCCAAACCCTAGTTACTAGTTGAAGCCTATGATAACCCTAAACCCTTCGGAGATCGCGATCTTCCCCGTGGCATTGTCTAGGGTGCGCTTCGCATGCACCCTGCCACAAGCACCGGAGACGGTGCCTGCTGCCTGTGTTCGCGCAGCATCTTCATGGACCTATCATGCCGCAATAACAGCGGCTTTAAGGGTTTAGGGTGGTTTAGGGTATAATTAGGGCGGACAGGACTGGTGGCAAGCATGCCTTAGTAACCGAGTACACAATGCAACATGTGAGAGGATATAGAACATATCATGTTCTCTATCTACCTACATATATATATATATATATACACATTAACATATACATAGTATAGAGCAAAAAAATACGATGATATAATATAGGCGTCACAGGTTCCTGACCCGCTTGAAGCCAGTCAGCAGTAACCTGCCCTAAAACCGTAGCCTCCTAACCTCCAAAAGCGTTTAGATTTTGCAGTGGTTTTAGGTTTACGGCTTAGGCCTGAGACCCTTCTCAGGCTTACTTAAAGTGCTCTTAAAACCCAACCTTACAAGACGCATATACAACCGCATCGCGCCTTAAACCGAGCGTTCTCAAAACCCGAAACACCTAAAATTCCGCAAAGCCTACACCGCCTGAGACTCCCCAGGCCCCTCGGTGAAGGCATTGACTTTAGAGCGTGCTAAGAGCTTCCCTCGTTGATTAAGATCGATTCCCCTTCTTAAGCAGTTCTAGACTCCTTGGGCGCCGAAACCCTCAAGACGAAACCCTATAAGCCCTAAGTTCTAAACCCTAAACCTTGCACCGGCCCAAGACTCCTCCTGAGACAGTCACGGCCCCGATGCCATCGTGCTTGGAGGTGGGCAGCACCCAGCCGGCGAGCACCGACTTCAGTCGGACATAAAGCGGCTGGAAGACCAGCGCTCACGACTGAAGGGGTCCGCTTTGGGCATGAAGCGGACCCGGCAAGACTTGACGAAAACCATCAACGCCCTCAAAGACCAACTTCGCCGGTTGGTCGGCTGCCCTTCCTTAGCGACCCCTGTCCCCCGCCAGGCTCTTGGTGTTGGTGCTCTGTTGCTGGATAGCTGTTAAGCTGGAGGGTTTCAGTCTGTTTTGCGCTTTGTGTTTGTGGTGTCTCTTTTTCGTTTTCTTGTTTCTCCGCAGCGCAGAATCCGGATGGAAACAAATAACGACGTCTCGATGAAGACTCGGTTGATTTGGACCCCCTTTCGGACCCTACCATCCCTATACTCAAGCCCCAGGACCTTGATTTCTTTTTTTCTGTGATCAGCTTCTCCGTCCAATCGCGATCAGAGCCTGCAGACTTTGGCAAAGATGTGATCCACCTTCACACACAGATATTCTAGCCTCATTTGACATGTACGCCAGATCCTATTTAAGACGGTCTGACCAAGCAGCTTACATCGTAAGTGGGGCAAGCCCGAGATCGAATGAGGTCGTCCTTAGTCATTGCACCGAGGCCCCCTACTTGGCTATGGCTGTTAATCGTTTTATTCGTTCCTGTGCTCCCCGTTTCCCCTACTCCACTCCAGTCATCAGACGGGGATGTTGTGGGCGACCTCATCGTGACATCCGAAACGGGCCCCTCGAGTGCAACACACGTGACAACACGCTGCGTCCACACATCATTCCCCTATGTCGGTCCATCCTGGCTGCCCTGTCTACAAAGATCCCCGTCGTCTTGTCTGGATTCTATTTCAATCACACACCATTTTTGTCCTCCCTATGCTCCAAACCCGCCCGCCCTTGCTCACTGCTCCCCTAGTGTTTTCCTTCATTGCATGTTTCTGACTTTTACTAGACTGGAATTCAACCTTTGCTGGACTGTGCATGTTTTAACCTTTTGCATGCTTTGCTTACTGGTCGATGCTGCTGTGCCTTGCAATCGAAGAACTTTGAATGGTGCCGATGACGAGTGAGATGAACCGGTCTGGTCAAGGCCCCGTCCCCCCCCTGTAGCCAAAACCGATTGGCAGCTGGATTTTGCATACGTTATGTCTTTTCTAACCCTGCTTTCCAAACTTCGCCCTACCAAACCAATAACCCACATGCCGCCGATGCCATGGTTTCCTTTTGCTGCCGTGACCAGCTGGCGGCTCAAAGATACCATGGTTACCCTGCGCGGGACTGTATTGGATGTCCCCTGAGTCGCGCTGCCAAGAAAAGATTTCCATCGATAGACTGCGGAGTTTTCTGTGGCTGCTACAAAGAGACCACGCCGAAACAGCTTTGGCAAACTTCAATCCTGTGCCGATGCTCCCCCAAAGAGGCACTTCAGGGGTCGGACGAACCCTATGACAGCTTACAAGCCCTGCTTTGCACAGAGTTTGCAATGTCTCCCCGGCGGCCCAAGGCAACATGCCTTAGAAGCTGAGCTGGAATCGCTGGCGCAAAGGTCGGTCTCGCAATTGCTGGAGTTTTCGGCCATTGCTTCTTGCACTGGCAACTAGCTGCAACTGTTGCAGTATTCCCCACATCCAAGGGGCAGGATGAGTGCGGCTAATTGGCGTGCCTTCGCAAACTGGGTCGACCCTGGGACGGGACATCTGCGGAAAAGACACGGGCTGGAGAAGCCAACCAAGTCCCCTTCTGCATGCTCCAATCTTCAATATGCACGCCGTTAGGTTTGGCTTATACCAGCCTGCTGGCACTGTCCCTCCCACCTACATGGACTCTGGGCAGCTCCTTGGGGATGAGAAGGTGCAGGAAGCTGGGTTATGTTGCACCAGAGTTTCCCTACCACGAGTAGGCATGCCAAACTTGGGCCCGAAGGTAGGAAAAGACTCAGCTTTTTCCCGCCTTAGTTTTATTAATTGGCAATTTCCAACCTTCCAGGCCTAGAGTTCACAGTCGACTACATAGCACAACAGGAGAGACCTTCTGGCCTTGGGTTGTCGGATGTTGCAAAGATGCCGGTGTATACACAAGGATGCGGTGCAGCTTCGTCACCCTGATCCGTAAATACATGGAGAGCCGCACGAAGAGGCCCGCATCCAAGCTCTAACAAGGTGCTGAAGGTCGGCACGCCCATGCCCGTCGATGTACAAGCACGACGGCGGTTTCCTGCATGACCTCGATGTGTACTGAGAGTTTGCCTGAAGTCACGATATGAAAGTGAGCCCTAACCTCCTGCGTGGCTTCCGCTTGAGTTAATTTATAAGATGATAGCTTTACTGACCCATATACCTCACCTTACTGGCCTCTATTCCGTTAAACTCTAGTGAAGGCTGTGCGGGATCCTAATTGCAATGTGCCACACACAACCTACAAACCATCTTGGGGAACTCCGCTGTACCTGGCCCGGGTACTTTACGTAGCTTAGCATGGCAGTAACAGCGAATTCCACTTGGTGAAGAAAGGTCAAAGCACCCACTAGGATTGCAGTCACTGCGGCTTGATTTTCGTGTTTGTTTTTGTTGGTAACTTGAGTAACCTTTTGTTAACGGAGAGCTGTGGGTGGTGTAGCAGTGATTGCAAGTTCACGAGTAGTCATGCTGACGTAGTTGGACAGTTGGACACAGAGGCCTCGTTTGGCGGAGTTCGAGTCGCGAGAGCGTAAACCCTAAATCCTAGACCAAGCACTATAAGCCCCAGGCCCGAAGCACCCAAACCTCACAAAGTTCCCAGGTATGTCGGCGGCCAACGTTGGGGATCAGCTTTCCCAGCTCCTGACGTAGGCAAAGCCTGGGGGCTACAGAACAACCTTAAGATTTAGGGTTCAAGATTTAGGTTTGGGGGTTTTGGGCTTTTGGGCTCAGCGAAAGAGGGGAGGGGTTTAGGGCAAGTTGAGGGCTCTAGATGGATATAGATGGGTTATACAAGGTTTCAGGGGCTTCTATGACCACATGCTTAGCGGGCCTGAGGCCTTGCTCTGCTAGCAAGATGACGTGACGGTTTAGGGTTTAGACTTCAGGGTTGAGGGTTTCCCCCCATGTTGCAAAGGTATTACCCTTGAAACCGCACACCGTAAACCCCTAGACCGTGGCTAGAGGTTATGTCCTCAATACTTGGCCGTCTTCTTTGCATTGATCGCAAGTCATGGGTCGCACCTTTCGACAGTTCCGGACTCCCACAGCATCTGGAAGGCCGAACAGAGTCGACCGTGGACGTCATGAATGTCGCATACGAAGGCCTTAGCTTCTGTGAAGGTCGCTGTTTGCACTATGGGAGCTTCAACAACTGCCAATACTCTTCCTTAGGGTTCTTACTTGTAGTTATGTTTATACATGCCCTGAAAGCTTGTTCTAACTCTTGGGGCCCCTCTATTGCATTATAATGTGCGCCTCCGAATTCCTAGTTGTCAACTTGCTCCGAAGACGAAGTGCAACCCGCCGGTTTTTTAGGGTTCCAGGTTCAGGGTTTAGTGTTGAGAAAAGTTTTCATGTCCGCAAGTGTGGAAATGAGGGCTCGTGGATTTACTGATTGTCGCATGGTCGGTTTGGTCCATCTTCTGTTGAGTTTCGATTCGAGAATGACAGAACAGTAACCATAATCAGCCACAGCAAGACTTCTCTCGCTTTGAAATAGTCTACAAACCCTGAACCTACTACCCCGAACCCCAAACCCTGAGCCCTCGACAGGGAAAACCCGAAACACTAAACCCTCGTAGTTGTTGCCAATGCCATTCCTTAGATTGCCGTATGATACTAATGTCATACCCAAACGGTAATCAAATAATTCAGATCCCTATTACTCCCTTGTGGCTATTGCGGCGGCGAGAAGGACTTTGCTGAGTAGGCGCAACCCCCGAATGTAAACCTGAACCGTAAACCGACGCCCTGCAAGCTGTCCCTGTACGGTAAACCCCGCAAGCCAAGGCTTTAACACCAAACCAGCTGTATAGCCCATATTGGAACCCGTATGGGAATTCTTTGAAACATCCGTAAAGGAATCCTTGCAGGAAGCCGTTGAAAATGAACTCACGACCCACGAAGGAACCTTCAACCCTGATACCCTGAACCCTCCTCATGGATCACTTGTTGTGGACTCTTTCAGCCCTAAGCCCTAGCCTAAGCCCTTAAACTCTAAACCCTTTCAAGGGACCCCTAAAAGGATCCCCGAAAGCCCTTGAGGTGCATCTTCTTTGACTCTCGTCCCATCCACGCCAGCGCCCGCGGGCGGCTTCCTCTCCGAGGTGCCGCAAAAGTCAATTTTTCGGGTTCCTTTGGTTTCTACCCCAAAAGTGGGTGACCAGGTAGATATAGTGGTAGTAGTGATAGCAGTTAGTAGGCGTAGTGCTGGTAGCAGTAGTAGTAGTAGTAGTAGTAGTAGTAGCAGTAGTTGCAGTAGTTGCAGTAGTAGTATCGGTAGTTGTGGTGGTGGTGGTGGTAGTAGTAGTAGTAGTACCAGTAGTACCAGTAGCACTAGTAGTACTATTGTAGTAGTACTAGTAGCAGCAGCAGTGTAGGATGGCTTGTCCAACGAAAGACCTCACTCGATGAGATCACACTTGTACACACCCTTTTAAAGCCCTGTCCTTCCCGCTCTTCTGAGAGTGCTTGAGTGCTTCTTACAATTCGGATGACCTGCACGTGGGTAGTTCTCCAAGTTAGGGTCTTTTTTAGGGATCCTTTTTATAAGGGGCCTTACTGTTTGGGAGACCTAAATTGGAACCCTCAATTTAGAGAACTGCGCACATGCCTTTGTTTTCCCGGAGTTGCGTTTTTCCCATGGCCTGTTTTCCGACCGAGGACGACGATGGTTTGTATCTTGATGCACTGGCAACATCTTGTTTACTTGATTCTGGAGTGGCTCAAAGCTTTAAACCGAAGCCCAGAGTCGTCAGCAGATTTGCTAAGAGTTGGCATTTTGGCATGGCCGTGGCTGCACTCGTACGGATCTTGAAGGGTAGATTAGCTTTTAGGTTTGCGGGGATTGTCGGACAGCATGTGCATTGCAGATGTTTGAATTGTTGGTGTGTGGGTGTGTGTGCGCGAAGAGAAGCCATGCCTCATGCTCAGTTCCTTCTGTTCTTGATGGACTCAATGTCGCGGAACCGGACTCTGGAGATTATTGATCCTGAATCGAGAGACGAAGGCCTGCGCGACACCCTATCCCAACCCGGAATCGATAATGCGACACTGAACATAGATCCCGAATCCATTTGCCGCTTGGATGCAAGAAGGCCCGTAACTTCAGCAACTTCCACCTCCTCGACATGTGGTAGCCAATATGCAAAATGTGGATTTATAGGGGCCCTGTCGGACATGTACTTCAGCGGACCCTTGTCGGTCCTTGAAGACATCTCAATGAGTCTGAGAGTGGTTCAGGGTTTACGGCCAAGTCTAGGGCTTTCAATATAAAGATAGTGGTTGCTATAGCAATCCGTATCCAAACGTAAACATGACATAAATCCTTCGCCGATGCTGAGCCGTCAGGTATTACGTGGGTGATTTCGTCTCGGGGCACACTCCTGGCTTCGAGGCCTTGCAGCTCTGAGAACTGAGAGGTCAGGTAGCTGCTTGGAACCGCACAACGTCAGCCCACTCAGTTTCACGCATGGGGTTTAGGGTTTGGGTAACGTCATTGTTGTTGCATCGTTACACCTGCGTCCAAGCAGGACCGAAGAACACGTTTGGAGGTCCTACGAGACTCTTTGACGCTAATTAAATCCTGAACCCTACAGAAACCGTCATAAACCCGATGATGAATACCCGGATGAAGACCGAGTGTTGGGTCGGGATCTCTGGTCCTGACTACTGCATAGACGCCGAGATAGTAATGTAAAGCCTTTCGTGTCAGGTTTCAGTATGCGCACAAACTGAAGCCTGAAGGCTGCGACCGAGATGCACTACAATTTCATCCACCTTATGAAATCCAAGCTCACGAAACCTGGACCTAAACCCTGAATCTCAAAACTCAGAACCAAAATAACTACGTACATGTATGTTGTTTTAATCTTTTTCACGCCGTATCCGGACACTCCTGAATGAAGGCCTTATCCCCAAACGCCGCAATCTGAAGCACTACACCCCAACAAAAGCCTTATAAAGTTCAAGAACTCTGGCCAAGCAACGCCTTCATGCCATGGGGTTGTATCCTAAATTATCCTTAACCCTAAACCCTAAACCCTAAACCCTACTAATTATCCTAAACCCTAAACCCTAAACCCCTGTAAGCCTCGAAGACCTGTGGGAGGCGGCTGCCCTCAGTGGACTGGACTGCGCTCTGCATCTGGCCAGCCGAGACCTCGCCGAGGCGTCTGCAGTTTAGGGTTTATAGGGTTTAGGGCTTAGGGTTTAGGGTTTGGGGTCTAGGGTTTATAGGGTTTAGGGCAGTTTAGGGGGCCAATGGGCTTATAGGGTTTAGGGCAGTTTAGGGTTTAGGGCAGTTTAAAGGGCGAGCTCCAATCAAGCCTGTGTAAACAACAGGCAGTTTAGGGTTTAGGGAGACCCCGCCGAGGCATCGCGAGAGAGCTGAGGCACGGCAGCCAACATGGACCAAGCAAATGTTGATAAGATGCTGGTTTACGTGTATGCATAGGGGAGTACCAATAACGATCCTAGTTATATATATATATATACACACATAAGTTTAAGATGTAGATGTTTATGTATACACACATCAGCGTTGATGACAATCCTCATGATGGCTGCGCCTAGTCATTGTCAGCAGTTCATAATCACCAGTAGTAGTGGCATGAAAATCTAAACAGCACACATGGTAATATTGGCTGCTGCTGTTGCTTCTTCAGTCGTGGTGTTGTGCAAGCCGGGTTAGATGCCTGCGGCATTTTGTTGAAGACACGTCTTTGTTCTGGGCCAGAGCTATTGTGTCGCGCTGCACACGAAGATATATGTTGCAATATCAATCCAATGGCCCGTCCCATTGCAGTGTCTACGGCCATACTTGCACTCGTGTCTGTTTGTACATCGTGTGTGCATCAACCCCGGAAGCCTCGCTAATTCCCTACTATGTAGTATCCCCTAAGCCCTCAACCCTGGACCCCATAAGCCTAGCTCATATAATATACCCCACTACGACGAGATCTAACGGCACGCAGGCCACGGCGATTCGATGAGCGGCACGATTTTCGGTTGATGCGAGGAGGAAGAAAAGTTCCGGCTCGCATTTGCACCGGACTTCATGTCCTGAAGCCGGGACAAGCAATAAATAATTTCAATAGGCTTTGGGGATATATTGTACTACAATTATCATAAGGTGCCCCAAAGCCCTATTCTAGTCATTAAGGCCCCTACATTACCTCTACCCGAAACATCAAAGCCATAGAGGTACTGAACACAGAGCGTTATCCGCCAACGTCGATTTGTAGGGATGTAGACTTCAGCACTAAAGCTGAATCTTCAGTTTGTTATTACTTCTCAGGGTCTGGAGCTCTTGAAGCCAAGGTTTTGTGTTTGAGGGGTTTCGGGTTGAAGATTTTGGCCCGAGACTCTTCGCAGTGCACCCTAAACCCTAAAAAAGGGGCCTCGATAATTACCTATATTA